GGTGGCCCCAGAGCTGCTCCCCAAAGCCAGCGGCCAGGTGTCACCAGAAGCTCGTGCAGAGATCTGGTTAAGCTGGTGTCCCTTTTTTGATTGTGGTATTACGTTGTACCAAGCCTGATGATTTTTCTTTTTTTTTTTTTTGGGTGGGAAAAAGATTACAGAAGACTGTCTTCATCATTATTGGAGTCTTAAATGCCAACCAGTCCTTGAAGAAGCGAGTGATGTTCCTGTTCTTTGAACAACCACGTACACTGAAGTGAAGGGGAAGGTTTTTTTAATTTCTAGACACTGATACACGGATTTTCTCAATGGTTTTTGCACTTCACTCACAGTGAGAAATAGCCAGGTGAATGCCAGCTTGTAGTGGGTCTGTGGAGACTTCTGTTGGTTACAAATTTGAAATCTAAAAAGCGTTTTGCTAGATCTCCTGAACACCATTTTTTTTAATCTCTTTTTCTGTGAGAATAAAACTCACGGGCTGGTTCTGCCTCATCTCTATTTTGGATAGAAATGTAAGTGTATCCCTTTGTAGTACATTGGCTGTGCTTGTAAATCTTCCTGCCCACGTTGTAGCAAGGGCACCGCTGCTTTCCTCTTTCTTGGGTGGTCCGTATCGATGTCTGGGAGCTCTGAACTGGAGGAAATGCCTCAGTCGTTACCCTGAGCGGCTTTAGGTAATCGTTCCTTGTCTCTCCATCTTCAGAAGCTGAATAATTCTCCTTCTCCCTGCCTTAGTTTATTATAACAGCATTTTGGTTTTCTTAGCCCTGTTTTACCTAGAGTAACAAACCGGTGTTAATCTGCAAAATTTTGAATTCAACTTTTTGAATGATCAGGTGACTTCTGGATTTTAATGTCGTTCTTTCTGTCTCCGGCAGGGACGAGTAGTTGAGAATATTTCTAAAAGATGTGGAGGTTTCTTGCGGAAGTTAAGCCTGCGTGGCTGTCAAGGAGTAGGAGACAATGCGTTAAGGTAGTGGTATGGCTTCCTTCTGCTCTTAAATGTGGTGTAAAGAATGATGCAGCTTCTACAACCACAGAGGGCTGGAATAATTTATGAACACTTTGGAACTGAGATCTTTAGCCTGTGTGTCTGACTTAAAACATCAAGAGTGGAAATGTGTAAGACACTGTAATTTATCATTTTTTAACTTCACACAGTAGCTGTTCTTCTCAGTCCTCATTGAAATAATACCAGTGCTACTACAGGCTCAGTAGTGACTGGCACTGAGTCACAAGCTTTTGCCTTTAGGCTGGGAAATCCCCAGGCAGGATATCAGGCAACATAAATCATTTATTTTGTGTATTTATTTTGTTTGTTTAGCTTGAGACAGCTTTGTAAAACTGAATCTGATGTGTTATGGTTAACACATGCTGTAAAACATCTGGAAATCTATTGCCTGAAAAGCACTGTTTTCCCTTTAATAAAGGACATTCGCTCAGAACTGCAGAAATATCGAAGTATTGAACCTAAATGGCTGTACCAAGATCACAGATGCGTGAGTAACGTTCCCATCTCTGTTTGCCCTCTCATCCCCTTTCCTGTGTGTACCATATTATATCATAGAATCATGGAACGGTTTGGGTCGGAAGGGACCTCAAAGATCATCCAGTTCCAGCCGCCCTGCCATGGGCAGGGACACCCCCCGCTACACCAGGTTGCTCAAATATCCTCCAGCTCCTTTTTGAGGGAAGGCCAGGCTTGTGCGTGCAGCAGATAACGTAAAGCATGTCGTGTCAAATGTATATGGCTCTGAATAAATCTGTTGGGTGAGTGTGACCCGTATGTTCTCTTTCAGGACGTGTACCAGCCTCAGTAAGTTCTGCTCTAAACTCAGGCACCTGGATTTGGCTTCCTGCACTTCCATAACCAACCTGTCTCTGAAAGCGCTGAGGTAGGAGCCGACAACGCTGACTGTTGATGGTTGATCCGAGATGGCGTGACCCGCCGTCGCCCCGTGTGCCTTGGAGGTGACTGGCGTAGGCTGAGGTGTAACTGTGATCAGGACTCAGACATTCCCCAACAGAGCTCAGCGTTCACACGTTGTGCCAACTGCTTTGCAGAGGTAGAGGAGGACAACTCAGTAAAAGCTGCCCTCGACCTTGTTTGTGTCCATCCTGGTGGTTATTAGCAGTAGAAGAATTACTATACTCTACTAAAATGTTCGAGGAGGGATTTTGGGGGAGACAGAAGCCTTAGTCTGCCTCTTTAAATGCTCATTTGCTAACAGTCAACTTCGTCCTCGTAAGCGTACCGTTGCATGCTTAGCAGTTGTTTGCATAGCTAGAAGGTGAACACCAGTGGGTGCCTGTTTGTCTTTTTAAACTGCTTAGGAGACATATAACTGCTCAAATCTGCTAAATGGGATTGCCAAGTAATCTAGAAAAGGAAGGGATGGACAGACATGGGTGAGAAGATACTGGGACAGAGAAAAGTAGGCAAAAAAACCCACTAAAGGTAACAATAGAGGCCAAGCTACTTAAAAAAAAAAAAAAAAAAAGAAACAAACAAAAAAAAACCACAACAATTCACTGGAGGGTGAATCGAGACACCAAAACAAAACACAGATTTGAAAGAACAAATGAATGATTAAATTATTTTTGAGGCTACATTAAAATACTGTGCCTGCTTTTTCCTCCCCTTGAGGGTCTCCATCCTTGGCTGTGATTTCACGTGGTCAGATTTGTGCTGCAGTATCTCAAATATGTGATAACATGTATATCTCTTCCTAATTACAAATCCCACTTGAGTGTTACTCCTACTGGCAGCTATCTGGAAATGCAGAGTTACACCCGGAAGGTTGGAAGCAGCATGGCAGGAATCCACCCTGGGGCTGGGTTTGGTTGTATTTGGGTCCAGACAGCCCATGAACAGCGTCTGTCCTTGGAGAGGAGCTGGGAGGTGTCCAAAGTGGGATGAGTTGGTCTTTTACCCTGCGTTAGAGCTGGTCCTGCCTCTGGGCAGCTCCCCACATCTGGAGCTGATGTTTGACAGAAGCGTTCCTCGTGGGGTGCGGGTGCACATCTGTGCTCCTGTGGGTTCCAGAAACGGGAATTTCCCAGATTCTGGCTCGGAGCAGGGTTTCTTTCCAAAGCAAAACCGAGTTCACGCACCGCTTTTCCTTTCGCCTCCCAAGCGAGGGGTGCCCGCTGCTGGAACAGCTGATCATCTCCTGGTGCGACCAAGTGACCAAGGATGGCATCCAGGCGCTGGTGAGGGGCTGCGGCGGGCTCAGGGCCCTGTCTCTGAAGGGCTGCACGCAGGTACGGCGCTGCCAGGGTGCTCCCGTGGAATTACAGCTGGCTTATTTCTGCTGGGGACGAAGTGGTGTGGATTTTTCTATTTCCAGAAACGTTACGTTGCTGAAATTGCTCGCAGCCTGCCTGTTGGAGATTAACTGCTTTTCTTGAAATTCTTTAATAAATTCTTTAATAGCTTTGAGCTCGGCGTGAGTAGTGGGGCAGTGAACAAATTGCGTGTCTGGCTGTAGAATCCTTCTTCTCTTCTCCCATCGGGAACACATTGAGCAAACTTTTTTTTTTTAAGAGAGGAGATAAGTTTGTTATTCACGGCCAGACCCAGCCGTCCCTGAAGGCTCCGAGGATTTTAGAAAGCATGACAGTACTTTTGTCTGGGCTGGTGATAGAATTTCCTCCACGTGTCGTTTGGATCTTCTGCTCGGTCCAAGAGAATCACCATCTATGTGACTCCTTGAGCAGAATCTCTGCAGCCAGCTGGGACCGTGGTGCTGCTCCCTGTTCCCTCCAGTATATCGTGTAGCTCTTGAGCTGTGACAGTGGATTTTGAAGAGGCTGCAGATGCTTCTATTTTGGAATATATAAATGGTGCACTGGCTCTTCCAACTGAAAGGGGTTTTTTTTGCCCCTTGTTATGCTTTTTGTTATTTAGACTGACTTCCTTTTATCTTTCTTTAACATCTTACCTGTTGAATCATCAAAAAATTTAGTATGTTAAATGCTTCCATGGATTATGGCTTCACTGAGGAGTTATGTCAGTTATGAGCTGGGGTGTGGGGAACACCAGCCTTGAGCATTACTCTTTTAATGAAGAAGAGCTCCTTGCAAAGCTGTTTCGCAAAGAACGTGGAGGCTAATTCTAATTCCTTTTTTTTTCTTTTTTAAATTAAGTGAGCTGAGGTCTTTTTAAGGCAGACAGGCTAGAAAGGAGCAAACATGTATCTCAGAATCGTGTCCTTGAAGAAAGAGAATAAAACTGACCCTGCAGGAGTTGCAAACTGTGACCCAGAGACTCCTGAGAGTTTCAGAGCCTCGAGGTGGACTTGGAAAAACGGATCTTCTTTGTACCCGAACATTGACAGCACTTGTTTGTTTTGGGTTTGTTTTTTTTTTTTCCTTAGGGTAGGGATTCCTTAAGGATGAGTCAGTAAGTGCCATGTTTGGCTGCTGTGTATAGATGAACAGCTAGATGTTTTTATTTCCCAAAAAGCATATTTCTCCTGTGCATGGACACAGAGTCCTGAAAGGTGCGATAAGCAAAGCAATAACACGCCGGTTACGTGCACAAGGCAGTGATCCCCTCGTGTGCACAAGAAAGCCCAGCTGTAAAGGCTCTAGGCAGTAGGTTTTTTCCTAAATTTATACTACTGATGGATTTTTAATACGTGAGATGGGTATACATGGCTGTAAAACGGGCTTGATTAAAGATATAACAATCTCAGCCTATTTTGAGAATTCAGGTCATAGAAACAGCTTGAGTTTCTGGTAATTTATGGAATCATGAGTAATATTGATGGCAATACATCCTTGTTATCAATTACTTGCCATCTGTTCTTATAGATTTAAGAACAGCAGGCTTTTTTATCATCAGAAAGCAACCTGGGTATGTTTGTGCTCCTTACATTGCAATGAGATGGATTTTTTTTTCGAGTTCCAGGATTGCAGTATGAAAATAGTGTTACTTCTGGGCCCTCTCTAGTGAAGCATTTCCTTAATTCCTGTAAATAGTTTCTCATTTCACTACTTGCTGTGTTAATTCTGCATGTTTGATCAGATCAGCTTTTCTTTAAATCAGTAACTTAGTGTTGTGGGTCTTTGAACTCTGTTCCTGAGAGGATAAAAAAAAAAAAAAAGGGGGGGGGAGTGCAAAAAGGCATGCAGTTAGTGCTGTGTATTTTAAGACTGCAGTGAGTTGCCCTCCTGCCCTGTAGGTATCCAAACCACAGACGCTTTATTGTTCTCAGAACTTTATTTTGAAGATTGCTTCAAGTATGAACAGGTTGCTTCAGTCTCTAAACTTTTCTTTCCAGCTGGAGGATGAAGCTCTGAAATACATTGGTGCACATTGTCCCGAACTGGTGACTTTAAACCTTCAAACGTGCTTAGTAAGTAAAGTTCCCTCTGATTTCCCAGCTCAGCCATTGTGCATTTAGGGGCCAGCTCGGAGCGGAACGATGCGGAGCACACTCCGTCCCAGAGCCGGCGGCGTCCGTGCAGACGGGGCAGTTGTAAATTCACAAGACTTTTAAAAATAGTTGATGAAAACCAGCTTTTTGGTAGCATTCAGGAGTGTTGAGTAAGCCCCTGAAGCAGCATCACAGCGTTCAGTTTGTCAGAATTGTGTCTCTCTGCCCTGGCCACGGGGCCCCTGCGCTGGTGGCCAGGACTGGCTGGAAAAATTCTTTCCATGGGGCTGGAGTGTTTGTGCCGGAGCACCCAGGCGGTTCCACTGCTCCCTGTCCGATGGAACCGAGCGCCGTTTCCCTGCACTGCAGTTATTCTGCAGTGCCAAAAACGTGTATTTATGCCAAAAAAAAAAGAAATTGCAATGGGCTTTTTGTACATACCATCGTGAGGTTAGTCTGACACAGTGGGTGACGGGACAACCTCTTCCTTTTCCATGGGGACAAGGGCTTTGGGGCTGCAGGGCTGGCCTTTCCCAGTCCCATTTAAAGACTGGCTCTGCCAGTTACTAGTCTGGCCAGAGACTGGTGTCCGTCCATCCGGGCACTTGCAAGGGAGGAGCTGAGCTGTTAGCAAGTTCCAGACTCTGCAGTGGAGGAGAGGGCAAACGGGCAGAGGGGAGGAGGAAAGCGGGGACGGAGCTGCTGTGCCACGGGGTGAACTGAATGTGATTTGGGCTCCGTGCCTGTCTCTCACAGTTCAGGTTTTTGTCCCAAACCACTGAAGTGTGTTTTTAAAAGGCTTATTTTGTGGGTGACACTGACTGTTGGGTGCTTTCTTGTCTCGAGTTTCAGCCGAGGAGGTCTGTGCAAGCCGGGGTGGCAAAGGCAGGCAGGAGACAGAGCCCAGCCCTGCTGCTGCCATGCCCTCCCCTGGCACTCACGTGGCCCGGATCAGAAACGTTTCCCTGCACGTGGAATCACTTTCCAAATGTTTACAAGCCACTTCCACGTTCCAGCTGCTCCAGTGAAATATTCGAATGCGTTTTTGGGTTGAAAGAATCATAACTTGGCCTCCGTTAGGTGCCCGGTTGGAAGGCTGGGAAGGAAAACAGGCGGTGCCTTGCGCCTCCACCTGCGTCGTTATGGCTTGTGATGGTGGTATTGTTTTTCTTGTAGCAAATAACAGATGATGGTCTCATTACAATATGCAGAGGATGCCACAAGTTGCAATCCTTGTGTGCTTCAGGCTGCTGTAACATTACCGATGCCATCCTGAACGCCCTGGGACAGAACTGCCCGAGGCTCAGGTAGGTTCTCGCTGCAGTTCCCCGAGCTCCAGTGACCCGTTGCACGTTGATTTGGGGCCACAGTCATGTAATATTTGAGCCATTTTGGACCCTGAAGGTCTTTCTGAAAGTGCACTTTTTATCACTGAGCTTTCTCCAGGCATTTGCTGTGGGATGACCGTAGTTTTACCCAAACTGGTAAATTTTCTCCAGGCATTTGCTGTAGGATGACCATAGTTTTACCCAAACTAGTAAATTTTCTCCAGGCATTTGCTGTAGGATGACAGTAGTTTTACCCAAACTTCTGGTTTCTAAACTCGTGGGGGTGAAACAGTGGTAGAAGAGCTCCGTGCCGCGGCGGCGTGTCCCGCCAACGGGCTGGCTTAGCAGCGGTCTCCTTTTACACCATGGTCTATCTGCTTTCGTTCCCTGATGAAAAACAGTCGAGGTCGGGTTACTTTTGTGTTGAGAACTGAAAACAGGTTTAAATAACATTGTTTCCCCTCGACATGTGATATTAACAGGGTTTTCATGGGGATTTTGTAGCAGATGGGCTTTGTGCTCTCACTCTGCTTGACAGAGTGGCTTCCAGCGACATCTCTGTGGGTGCTTGCTCCTTTATTATTATTTTTTTAAGACTTTTTTTTTATTAGGACAAGTTTCTTCAGGAAGACTTTGCTATAATTCAAAGAATGGCCAGGTGCAGAAAGAAGAGACAGTTTTATTATCTGACATCTGTAACAGCTGAGTGGCCTGTTTTAAACAGCATAAAATACATATCTTCTGGGGGTGGGGAGAAAAAAGAAAACCCACAACTGTTTTCTGGGATAAGCCCATTTAAAGAATGACAGGTACAGAGGGTGGGTGCTCTGTGCAAGGTATCCCCTCAGACAGCACAGCCTAAACTGGGTCTAAACTTTTCTGGGTTGCTGGAAGCTTTTAATGAAACACTCTGAAAAGCAAAATGACTCCACCATGGTTATTATAAATTCTTTCTGTGCAGAATATTAGAAGTTGCAAGGTGTTCTCAGCTAACAGATGTGGGCTTTACCACTCTAGCTAGGGTAAGTGCTCCTTTCCACTTTTTCATCAAGTATCTTTGCTTTCTTTTCGTGGTAGACGTGAACAAACAGTAGCTTTCCCTTGAACGTAGATTTTTGTGATACTTTTGATCTCTCTATTGGAGTGGAAGCTGAGTTACAAAAATCAGCTTGTATGTGATCTCTGGCATTGTCCTGACCTGCACATCTGGGAGGATGTGCATCCAAACTACATGAAATGTTAAATACTTGAGAGTTACAAACTTTACTCTTTCTTTTTTCTGGATTAAGCTGTGTTCTGTACAACTGACCCTAAATTTCAACTGACCCTCCTCCACTTTCTATGAATAAAAAACCTCGGTGCCTTTAAATGGGTGAAATTGCTAAATTTCCTTTACTGTATGTGGTGGTGTTGGTAAAGCAGCAGCAAACTTTCCTTTCAGTCATGATGTTTGATGGAGGAAGAGTCTTCATTTTTAAAAAGGGCTGTTTTATTGTAGTTTTATTGATATCTGCTGGCTGAACTTTCCGCTTAGTTTGCGTGTTTGATCTTTTGTTTGTTCCTAGAACTGCCATGAACTTGAAAAAATGGACCTGGAAGAGTGTGTCCAGGTAGGAGGTGCCACCTCTGGCTGTTAAATTTTTTTTTTTTAGCACAGTCCCAGCAGTGTGGAAGGATGGTGAAAAAGTAGATTGTCTCTAAATCAGAACTTGGTTTAGAATCCTGAGCAAGAAGACGGGATATATTTGGATAAGAAAATACTGCTTTTGTAGTTTAATCCTCTTGCTCATATTTCACACTAAAGAATGCTACTGTAAATAAGAAATCTTTAATAGGTGTGTCCTGAAGGTCGTGTAATGAATGTGTGAATTGTGACCCTTGACATGAGATCAAGTCCCAGAGTAAGATGTTTTCTCGTAAGGCCAGAGAAGGTTTGTGCTACACATGTTGCTCAAAACAAGGGAAATAACCTCTGTTTTGGAAAAACACAGCCAGGTTGCTTGAACAGCAGTGATTTATAGAGGTGTGGCAACAACTTGGAATAAAACTGGGTTGCCTGGGCTGGCCTTCCTCAAAGGCAGTGGGGTGTCATGTACTGGGTCTGTTACTGTTGACTCCCCCCTTACAACCCTGTTCATGAGTTTTAGGGGGGTCTCTTGTATGTGACTACACCCCGTTCTGTAGGGTATGTGCCACAAGCTGATAACCATTTCAAGGCAGCGTTTAGAGGGATAATAGTTAAGTTTACTCAAGATCCCCTGAAAAATGTTACAATCCTAAGGACAGATGTAACATCGATTCAGATGAAGACAGTGGAGGGAATAGGGTTTTGCTTCCTGCCATGAGAACAGCGTGACCCCAGTATTCTGTACTTCCTGATGTTTACAGGGCAGAAATTCAGGAGATCACAAGAGGAAATTACAGTAGTCCAGACGGGAAGTGATTTAAAGTTAACCCAAAAAAAGGAAGAAGACAAACTGGGCTGTGTCCTTGAACTGACTGCGTTGAACAAAGAGCCCAGCAAGTTCCCTTCGGAATACTCTTAGATTAGACAGCCATTGTGTTGGGTCTCTTTCTTCCTGGAGAATAAAGAGGAACAATTCAGCAACCCACTGAGCTGCTGGAAGGGGATTTGGACACCTCTTGTGCTTTAGGTGTCCAAACATTTAGGTGACAAACATTTAGGAAACCTGGTGGTGTTGAAGAGGTCTGCTCACCTCTCTTAATCGTGAGCTTTTTTCAGGAGAGCTCCTTAAGGAAGCTGGAAAAACAAGCACTACCTGTATTTTAACAGTCCTTTAAGGACATGAGTTGATTTCTATGAGGGGTGGAAGAATCTGTACGTCTGAAATTCGGTCACACAGGAGATGATGAGTTCCTGAGGGGCTCAGGAGTGACTGTGGGGAGCACTGTCATGGATTAGGCAAAAGTCTGCAGTTTTTCTTTCACAGGGGGGGAAGAAAAGTCCTTGTGCCAAGCACCCAGCGTGAAAGGGCTTTTTCTTTTTTTCCAGATAACAGACAGTACGCTGATCCAGCTTTCCATACACTGTCCACGGCTTCAGGTTCTGGTGAGTATCATGAGTGAGACTTTCAGCGTTTTCTTTCTGTAAACAAAGGGATTTTAAGCACTGCCTGTGGGGGTTTGTCTCTTTGACTTCATAGACATGTTGCGAAGGCTTGGAAGAATTCGGCTAGAAACTTGACCCCGAAGAACCTATTGTCCCTCCCCTACTGCTAGCATTAATCGTACGCCAGGCACCCCCAGCTGCCT